GGGGCCACAACCACTGGTGCAGTAGTAGTGGCCACATTCGCGCATGTGCTGGTGCTGTGCGCCATGCGTGAATGGCTGCACACACTCCGTGGCAGCTAGTGACCGTTCAACATGCGCAAATGGGCCATGCACACACACTCGCACTAGCAGCCCGTTTGCGCATGCACAATTGGGGTGCACGCGCCTCTGTGCTAGTGTTCCCGTTCATGCCCGCACACATATGCAAACAGGGCCATGAGTGCTAGCGTGAGTGGGGGGGAATGCGTGCCCACGTGTGCACACCCTGGCCAGCCATCTCTGGGTGTTTTGTTTTTATTCCCCCCATCTGCTGGGTGGTGGCAGCAGGCTTTGGTCACTTCACATGATCCTGGGATACTGTGACCGTCATAAATATGAATCAGTTACCAAGCATCTGAATATAAATCACAAGACCCTGGAGATGCTGCAACATTCTAGCTGATCGGCACTTCTGGGCTCAGCAGAAGCACTAGGATCAGCGCCGAGCTACAGCTGATTGGTGCTTCTTCAGGGCTCAGCAGAAGCACCAGGCTCAGAGCCGAGCTATAGCTGGAGCCTGGCGCTGATCCTGGCGCTTCTGCTGAGCCCCGACAGCCCTGCAGCTCCAGCCATCTCTCGCTCAGGCTTGTGTGGTGCTGCCACCGGTTCAGCTTATTCCCCTCCCCTGCTACCACTTTTCTAGGATGGTCACGTACCACCTGCCAGGTGCCAATGTACCACAGGTGGTACCCACACCACTGTTGAAAAGCCCTGCCCTAAAGTGCTTTCAAGGTGATAACTAGGATTCTAAATGCTGGCATTCAACCAGCACCCAGAAATATGTTGGCAACCAGTGCAGCTCACAAAGCAGTGGTGTTACACATGTTGAATATTTGACACTTTTTATGGCCAGTCCAGTTGCATTCTGCATAGTTGAAGGTTTCGAATGCTCTTCCAAGGGCAGCCCCATGTAAAGTGCATTGCAGTAGTCCAGATGAGGGGGTCACAAGGACAATATTGGATAGAGGATCACCTGGAAATCCCAAACCCATACATGATGATTGATGATGATCAATGATGATCGATGATAATGATATCAATTTATATACTGTAGCTGTCCATCTAGATTGGGGAGTTGTAGAACTAAACTTGACATGAAAGAGATTGTTGTAACTTGAGCATTTCCTCCCCATCAGCCACTTCCTCCCCATCAGCCACTTCCTCCCCATTCCATCGCTAGTGAGAAACTTATAAATTCCTTCTACGACATGGGATGGAGCCTTTTGAAGGATATGTTCTCAAATAAATCAATTTATATTGAAATTTCTCAGGAAAGGCAAATCTGTTTTCTACTCCTGGAGGGACATCTGGCAAAAACTGGTTGGCTTCTGGCTCAGTTTCCTGCCCAGGAAAGATCATGCTGATTTTGTTTTCTAGCTTTTTTGGGCAGGCAAAGACATTTTTTATTATTAAGAAGCTTTTCAGTTGATTTACTGCTAAGTAGCATTTCAATTAATTTATTAAGTTTCAATTGATGTATTGCTTCACCAAATCCCTACTTTATTTCTAATTTGGTCATCTTTTATTCAATTATATTTTAACTGTTGACATTTAATGTTCTACTTATAAGCTGGCTAGGCTATTTGTAATCATTTTTTGTGGGTTTAGACGAGAGTTCTTCAACTTCAGCAAGTTCTAGGTGGGTGGATTCCAACTCCTACAATTCTGGGAGTTGTACTTCAACCAGCTTAAAGTTATTATGAAAAGTGACTTAGATATTATTTGTTTGGTAGAAAGGCAAAGTATAAAATAGTGAAGAAATAAATATACCTCCATAGAGAATGAAGAAAATTGAAGAGGTGTTTTAGATCAGGATTGAACTAATAATTAATTGAATGTTATTTTAATAAGATGATGTGTTTGTTTGATAATATGGATGTTATTAGGTTTGATAATTAATTGGATGAAATCAGAACCTTGTCTAATGGACTTAAATGATTTAAGGTTGATATTATTTTGTCAGTTTAAAGAAATTGATTGATTGATGGATAAGATATGTATAGGATAGATCAATATTTTATTTTAATTGGGAAATATTAGTGTAAGAAGAAATAAACAAGATTTACGATAAAATTAAGGAATTAGGATATATTTGGAAGGGATACCTGAACTGATAATGTGGTTATGTAAAGTAAAATTTGATTATGGTTTTGTAATTGCATAAAGCTCTAAAACAGGTTTAGGATTAATAGAAATTTAAATTAGAAACAGACTATTTTAAATATATTAAGCTATTTGAGGGAAATAGGGAATATTTGATGTATAGATTGAGTTGTTTATATATATGTTTTGTTTTGGGATTTTTGATTACCCCAGCACCACGGTGTGTCTCGAGCACTTTGTCTTAAGAATTAAAAAACCAATAAAATTTGTTTTACCTTAAACCCCCCTGCAACTCAGACTAACCTGAGCACAACAAAGCCCCCACCCAAACAGAACACTCCCCCATCCAATCAGAGCACAGCCAACCCCCCCATCCAATCAGAGCACAGCCAAGCCCCTAACCAATCAGAACACACCTCCACCCAACCAAAACACAGCCAAGCTCCCGCCCAATCAGTTCATACCCCCACTGGCAGTTAAAAGGAAGAAACAGCTAAGACTACACATTGCTCCTCAAAGCACGAAGCTGAAAACACCAGCCTGAAGATGACAAATGGGACTTCGTCAAAACGTCGCCAAGACACTTCCAATTTTACGCGGGAGAAAACCCGAATAACCAAAGACATACATATGTATGTATGTATGTATGTATGTTTTCTGAGGTTTTCGCGGGTGTTTGTATGTAGGTCTTTGGTTATTTGGGTTTTCTCCCACGTAAAATTGGAAGTGTCTTGGCGACGTTTCGACGAAGTCCCATTCATCATCTTCAGGCTGGTGTTTTCAGCTTCGTGCTTCAAGGAGCAAGGTGTAGTCTTAGCTGTTTCTTCCTTTTAACTTGCTACACATATTTAACTTGATACACATTGCTCCTCAAAGCACGAAGATGAAAACACCAGCCTGAAGATGACGAATGGGACTTCGTCGAAACGTCACCAAGACACTTCCAATTTTACACAGGAGAAAACCTGAACAACCAAAGACATACACACACACACACACACACACACACACACACACACACACACACACACCTCTCCATAGTGAATCAAAAGGATTAAGTTACATTTGACATCAATTAAAGCAACTTCAGTCTGGTGCTGTCTTTTGCTGTTGAAGAGGAGGAGGAAACCTTTTGTAAGTTGGGTCTACTTGTGAGTGAGATTACTTCCTGAAATGTGACTATAGGGGACATACAGATCTGAGCATTCGTTTGAGGAAGCTTTCCTGAATGAATATGGAGATCATTAAGATGTGAGTTTTCACTTGCTGTGTGATAGTAGCTTAGCAAGGTAACCCAGACATAAGTACACCCAGAAGGCCTAATTCTACTTTATTGTAAAGATACCTTAGCAGAATTTAAAGTCTAAAAATATATCTTTTCCATTTACAGCTCATGAAACTACAATGGTCCTTTCTCAGATGTTCACCATGCCCACATTCCTTCTGCGTCTCACGTGGAAACTAACCAAGAAGAGAAGCAACCTAGAACTAAGGAGAAATTTCCTAACCGTGAGAACAGTTAAACAGCGGAATTACTTGCCTCTGGAAGTTGTGGATGCTCTATCACTGGAAGTTTTCAAGAAGAGATTGGACAGCCATTTGTCCAAAATGGTATGGGTTTCTTATACTTAGCAGGGGGTTGGTCTAGAAGACCTCCAAGGTCCCTTCCAATTCTGTTATTCTGTTATGTGAGAAGTTTTATATCAAAATACACATTATTCCCTATACTGTTTCCATCTTTTTTTAGAACATTAACAGATCCACAATGGACTGAGAATCAGTGTCTCCACTAGATAATTGACAGTCAAGCTGAAACTACATTGTGTAAAAATAGCAGACGGGGGAAAATCTTTTACTCAAACTTCCTCACTCCCCCCTCCCAAATAAGTCACCCAGATCTAATCCACATATCAAAGGAGAAGGTCTGCAAACACAAATGGAATTAATTAAATGAGGTCTCCCAGCAGAACTGCATGATCACAAGAATAAACATCATAGATGACCTACCTACCTACAGACACACACACGCCCCTCAAGTGGCACCCTAGAATCAGCACGTAGACACTTTCTAAGACAAGCTCCTCTATACAACTGTGTCTCTGTACCCCATTTCTCTGCAGCTGCCCCTAAAGACAAATACCAAAGCCCTGGTGGCTCAGTGGTTAGAATGCAGTATTGCAGGCTAACTCTGCCAACTCCCAGCAGTTCGATCCTGACCAGCTCAAGGTTGATTCAGTCTTCCACCTTTCTGAGGCTGATACAATGAGGACCCAGATTGTTGGGGGGAATAGGCTGACTCTATAAACTGCTTAGAGAGGGCTGTAAAGCACTGTGAGGCAATATATAAGTCTAAGTGCTATTGCTATTGTTTTGCTTTTAATAATAAATATTTCTTCTTTCCTCACAACTGTCTGGATCTCATTTTTACTTATTCTTGCACAACCCTGGTTCGAGTTGCAACCCCAAATTATTCTTCTACCAGTTACATGATTGTTGTGACTTTTCCCCCATTTCCCAAGATCATTCCCATACACCTTAACTGTGAGCGACTATTTTAACAAAAAGTATTATTCACTGGGCCTGGCCTTAATGTCAGGAACCCATGCGAGCTGCATTTTTCACATCCTGTGCTATGGATAGGAAATTGCTCCTTCTCTACCACATAAATAAACATGACTTAAGAGGGTCTATATCCAAAGGGTCATTCCCAGACCACCCACGGGGGCATCTGTGGCTACAATTTTTCTCTGCTTCAATCTGCGCTGAAAGCTGGTTTGTTTACATGCCTCAATCCAATCTCTCACGATAAAGCAGCTAATGGAGAGGAGAAGCCTACTCACTTGTTTGCAACTGCTTGCATAAACTCATCCAGCAAGTCGTCGTACTCTTTCCCACGAACCCGTTTGTGCTTGAGGCCAATGTAGAGCGGATCGTTCAGGAGCGCCTAAAATAGAGGAAGAGAAAACAAACAATGTCTGCTTGCACTACGGGATATTTTCTCCTGCTGGCGTTAGCGACAAAAATTAATATTATCTTCATTTCAGGCACTTAGCCCCCAAGAGTAAGGCTGCGTGTGGTGGCTCAGGTTTGGTGACCTCAGGAATGTGGGAACAGGAACCTGGCTCATAAAACCTCTGTCTTTTCCTGGGAATAAACGGACTAGGGTTTTCTGCCTGAGCAGGGGGTTGGACTAGAAGACCTCCAAGGTCCTTTCCAACTCTATTATTCTGTTTGTCTGACTGCAGGGCTCTGTTGTTTAAAGGAGCTGTCTTTTGAAACATCTTTCAAGCAGATGTGTCTTCCTGGGAACATAGGGCTACCCAATTGCAGTGGGTCGCTTTGGGCGTTGTGTGGGACAATGTTTTTCAAACTTGGCAACTTAGGATGGATGGACTTCAACTCCCAGAATTCCCCAGTTAGGTAGTCCTCGACTTACGACCATAACTGAGCCCCAAATGTCTGCTGTTCAGTGAGTTTTGCCCCATTTTAAGACTCTCTTTGCCACAATTGTTAAGCAAATCACTGCAGTTGATAAATGAGGAACCCGGTTAAGTGAATCCGATTTTCCTATGAACTTTGCATGTCAGAAGATCATCAAAGGGGATCACGTGACCCCAGGACATAGCAACGGTCATAAATATGAACCAGTTGCCAAGCCTCTGAATTTGGGGATGCTGACCATGGGGATGCTGCAAAGGTCATAACTCTGGAAAAACGGTCGTAAGTCACAGTTTTCAAGCCTGTTGTAACTTTGAATGGTTACTAAATGAACTGTTGTAAGTTGAGAATTACCTGTATTCATAAGCAGAAATGATATTCAAAGACCAGGGACGTAGTTTCAGAATAATATACTAGCAAACTTAGTGCTGAAGTGTCAACATGTGGACAGAGATGAGCTTTAAAATGGTGCAGATAGGAAACATTAATGTTTAAAGCACTTTTTAGAGCATCTGAAATCCTGCACAGCCATATTAAAGAAGGACTAGAAAAAACGAGGGGGTCACGTTATTTTCCAAAGCACCAGAGGGAAGGACGAGAAATAATGGTTAGAAACTGAACAAAGAGAGAAGCAACCTGGAATTAAGGAGAAACTTCCTGACAGTGAGGACAATTAACCAGTGGAACAGCTTTCCTCCAGAAATCGTGGGCGCTCCATCACTGGAGATTTTTAAGAAGAGGCTAGACAGTCACTTGTCTGAGATGGTATAGGTCAGTGATGGCGAACCTTTTAGAGACCGAGTGCCCACAAACTGGCCCCGCCCCTGCTCCGCCTCTACCCTGTATCCCGCCCTGCCTGCCCGCAGGTCCACTCACCACCTCCAGGGCCCGCCACAGATCACCCAAGCAGCCCAGCAGCACCATGGCGGCCACTCCCTCTGCCCACACCCCGCAGCATCAATTGTGCGCGATGGGGCATGAGGGCAGAGTCTTGTCCATGCTGCCTGGCTGCCATGTCCTTGGCTGCGCTGCTCTGCCTGGGCCACGCTCGGGGGTGATTCTTCTCCAGGAGGGCTGCTGGTGAGAAGGAGGTCGCGCAGGGAGGCAAGGCTGGGGCAATGACACGTGTGCCCACAGAGAGGGCTCTGAGTGCCGCCTCTGGCACTCGTGCCATAGGTTCGCCACCACTAGTATAGGTTCTCCTGTTTAAGCAGGGGGCTGGACTAGAAGACCTCCACGGTCTCTTTCAACTCTGTTCTGTTCTATTCTATTCTATTCTATTCTATTCTATTCATAAAGCTGTCCTTTAAATGTATTTATTTTCCACCTTGGCCCTTATTTGACTTTTACTGTACAAATGGTACCACTTACTGCAGTCTTTCCCGTTCTTGTGAAAAATACGAAAATGGAATTGTCTTTGTAAAAATGTACTGTTTGATTTTAGATATTTTTATTAGAAGATACATTTCTGTAAAACTGTTCTTGATTTTGCTCTTGAATCTTGCTTGGTAAAGCAAAGTTATAAACATAAGCCAATTAAACGCTTAATCCTTATTTAACCTCTTTCAGATTTGCTCCTTTTTGAGGTTGGTCCTTTTATGTTTTTCTGAGAAAATATGGTCACCGTGTGTGTGTATAGTCCTTCTGGCGTCTGTGCAAATAAAAGAGCTTCCTCATAAGCAAGGCAAATGTGCACCTCGGTTACAGAGTAATATTAACTCTCAGTTCAGATTTCAGTATAATAATGAACGTGTGGAAATAATATCCTTCCATGAACTTCATGCCTCTCCATTGCTCTCCTGCCTGGAATAATAAGAGCAGGCAATTAGCAATTTATTAAATACCTTTGACCATGTGGAGGGTTGTGCCCTGATGATGTTACCTAGTTGGGTACTAAAACGTCTACAAGAAAACTACCCTCAGTGAATACCAAGGACCCAATAGAAAAGAATATTTGTAATTCAAGGCTGAACTGTGAGATTTTGGTTCTCTCCGAGCTTGGTGGTTTTCTTGCAGACATTTCATTCCCCAACATCATCAATGCCCTGATGATGTTACCTAGTTGGGGAGTGAAATGTCTACAAGAAAACCACCAAGCTTAAGGAGTACCAAGGACCCAACAGATTTTAATTAGCATCAGGATAAAAATCTGAAGAATGTCTGCTTAAAAGATATGCTTCGATCCAAGCTCAATTTCTGTTACAGGTAGTCCTCAACTTACGACCACAACTGAGCCTCAAATTTCAGTTGCTCATCAAGACAGTTGTTAAATGAGTGTTGCCGCATTTTAGACCTTACTTGCCAGAGTTGTTAAGTGGACCACTGCAGCTGCTAAGTTAGGCTAGTTAAAATGAATCTTTGCTTGTCAGAAGATTGTAAAAGGTGATCACAGGACTCAGCAACTGTCATAAATATGAACCAGTTGCCAACCGTCCGAATTTTGATTACATGACCATGGGCAGGGGTAGGCAATCTTGGCTCTTTTATGAGTTGTGGACTTCAACTCCCAGAATTCCTGAGCCAGCATGGCTCAACTTGGAAACCTCTCCCTTTCCCCTCAGCATGGCTGGCTCAGGAATTCTGGGAGTTGAAGTCCACGAGTCATAAAAGAGCCAAGGTTGCCTACCCCTGACCATGGGGATGCTGCCATGGTCATAAGTGTGAAAAACAGTCATAAGTCCCTTTTGTCAGTTGTAACTTCAAAGTGGATTCTGAAGTCATGTCCACCATTTTGCCTTTGTTGACTGACACACACACACCCATGCTCCAGACACCACGGTCAGTGGTGGGATTCAGCCAGTTCACACCACTTTGGCAGAACCAGTGGCTAATTTTTCGTTGTCCAAGCCCAGAATAGACTTCCGGAAGTGGCATCCACAGAGAGAACCGGTTGTTCCCATATTTGAATCCCACCACTGACCATGGCACAAATGGAAGGGTTCAGGCCTTGTCTTGTAATCACAGACACATAGATCATACTTTCAACTGAAATATTATTTTTCCAACAGAGCCATAACTCCGGTCATTAGCTAATGATTCATAGGAAATTCTAGTTTAGCTCGGTGGGAAACAGGATTCTGGACCACATACTGGAAACAGAAGCAGATGCAAAGACCAGGGAGACAATTAAGCAGCTTGGATGACTAAGAGGAAGGAGATTTGTGTCTCAATCAATCGGCTGATTCAGCCACACCAAAAACAGGGGGACGTGAAAACATTTTTCCAAGTGACAACATTGTTCCCACAGTGCTTTCTCGCCGACATTTCACATCATTTTGTTCATTGTTTTCCAAAACAGTAAAGGCACAGCTGTGTTTCTCCACCAGAAACCTAAAAGGGGATTCCCTGGATTGAAAGTCAAAGTTCTTCTCCACTATAACATAGTCCACTGAAGACAAGGCCCAGGTTGCACAACTTGACAAAACCCACATATTTTATCCCTCACACTGATCAAAGGGACGTAGCCTCACAACCACAATCAACCCAATATTTTTCTTACAGAAAGTCAATAAATTTTCCGCAGTCCCAAGTATTAAGTATCAACTTGGGTCACTTTTCCTCCCCTTTTTTGTACACCAATCTTTTTTTTTCTTTTTTGCTGTTGTTAGTGCTGGATGTTTTGGGGTTTTTTTTGGTTGGTTGATTTGTTTTCTGTTCTGTATTTTATTTTTTATCATAAAACAAAATATATTTATATATATTTAAAGAAATAAATTTTCCACAGCCTTGTTGCATGATGATGACCAACAAAACAATAGCTTTCATTATCTAGTATAATAATAATAATAATAATAATAAACAACAAACAACTGGTAGGAGAGATATAGTTCTTATTTTTAGCAGCATTTGATACTCTCAATAACTATTCTTTAGGGCAGGGGTCTTCAAACTTGGCCCTTTTATGACTCATGGACTTCAACTCCCAGAATTCCTGAGCCAGCCATGCTGAGGAAAAGGGAGAGGAATTCTGGGAGTTGCACAAGTCATGAAGGGGCCATAATTCCCCCATGCTGGCTCAGGAATTCTGGGAGTTGAAGTTCACGAGTCATAAAAGAGCCAAGGTTGCCTACCCCCTGTTCTAAGTAGAACACTGACATGGCCCTGTTACATACTGTGGGGAGTGTTTTTTTATAGATAGCCTCCATTCCCTCTTTATCTGCAAGCTTATGATGATTTTTCAGTTGTTAACAAATGACGCATTTCTGGCTCTGCTTTCCTGCACTTACTGACTTTAAAAGCTTTGAGTTCTCCTTTTAAATTGGACTTTTCTTCCCTCAGCCACTTCTTCACAATAACCTGAACATTGCCCACTGTCTTTAAACATTTCACAGAAAAATGAGAAAAAGCAATTAAGAAAACAATTTGACCTTGTCAATTACCACGATTCACTGTTTCATCTTGTGCTTTGGGAAAATGGCCTTTCTGCTTTCTAATGATCAAAACAGGGACAAAAATATACTGGTTTATTTTCATTGACTGTTGGAAAAGTAGAACTTCTTCTTGTTC